TCAGTACAAAGGTGGTAGAGGAAAAGGTCACTTTTCAGGCTAAAAGTGGGGCTCGCGCCGGGGGGTCGCTGGCTCTCTCATTCCCATTAAAAGCACTGGAGGACATTTCAGAGTGTCTCAGACGTAAGCTTATAAAAGATCAATTCCTCATTTTCATTTCTCCTAAAGAATCTAAAGTAAATGGTTTTCCCATCAGGTCTAAGTGATGTCTTATGTGCTGTTTCATTTGCCCCAGAGAAAATGTGATCTAACAACAAAAATTTACCAAAAACTGATGAGCCAATATTCACAGTGGAACTCATACCTTTAGAAAAGGAGTCTAAGCCAAAGCATATTGCTCAATTTTAAAGTTTCAAGCTAACAGAGAATGTTTTAAGTGTTGATTTCAGTGTGCAATCTCAAAAATGGAACATAAATATCTATTTCAATATGTATAACGGCTTTTATAAACAATTTATGTAGTTCTTAGTCATTTCCATAGTCTCTGCAGAAAACTCCACTTTTGAAAGCAGGAAGACAGAGAGAAAGAGAAAGAGAGTGAAGAGGGAGAGGCAGGCAGGCAGGCAGGAGAGAAGCTTAGGGAAGGGAGGGATGCAGGAACACGGTGGGGCCCTCCTTCACATCCACAGCTCTCGGTCAAACCCTAGAAGCTCGGCAGCAACCAGGTATCCATTACAGCTAACTTTTGGCGCGAAAGCTCCAGGAAGAGAGTCAGATTTCCTTTAGCAATGAGCTGATTGCTGAAGAAAAGTGAATCATCGCACACTTGAATGAGAAAATAAGAAGGCACTTTCCCCCTAAATAGGGCCCATTTCAGGCAATTTGTTAAGCCATGGCCCTGCGCCACCAGCCATCAGGAGGTGGGGCGTGGGACACCTGAAGGCAGCGCGTGCAGACGGAGCATAATGATGCTCTCCATCATCCGGACAGGTGGCAGGAGGGGTGCAGGCTACCCGCTGCCGAGCCACCAGGTCGCGGGGACCAGAGGGCCACCAGCTTCTCCCACCTCCGCACACGCAGCAAAGGAACCGTGTGGAACTCACCGATGAACCTGGCTTCCCCAAGACCAAGGGTGCTGCCTTCCCACACAAATCCTGCCTTTGAGGACTGGGGTCTTCAGACCCCTGGCTGCATAGAGGCCCAGACTCAGCCACCTGGGAGGGACCCTGCTGCCCGGTGATGAGCCCTCGCCTGCACCACGGCCTTCACACTCCACTGGGGCGGAGAGAAAGGTGGAACTATTTGCCAAATATGCAAAAAAGGAGGGAAGATAGTTTTCTCTCAGGAGAAGAGAGGCGGGAAGGGAGCCTGTGCTTCCTGTCCTGACCAAAATGGGTTCAGAGATTATTAGGACGTCTGTCTGATTTGACAGGCTTGCGGTGGAGGAGGGAGCTCTTTTAGTCAACAGGAATTGTGAGTTCCCCAAAGGCAGAAATGGCCATGGGAGAAGGGAAACGGGGCTGGCCTGGGCTGGGAAGACAAGTGGCCCCATGCCTGGGACTTGGGGTTTTCACCGTTTTTAACAGTTTGTCCCTAGGCGGGGCTCGCAGGCACCTATGACATCCACCTGTTTATCACAGCTCAATCCAAGGACCAACGGTTAACGGAACCCAGCAGCCCATGGCCTGGAGCTTAGGCCTCTGCTGCCCTCCCTTTGGGCCTTTCTCAGGAGTGACCCCCAGTGACACACAGAAGTAGGCTGAGCTCTGCTCATGTCTCCCCTCAGAAATTTTCTGAAAAGCTTCTTTTGTTTGCTGTTTCATTTGTAATAATGCAACACTTCACTCTTACTATTTCATGATGTCTTAAAAATATTTGTGGGAATACCATCATTTGAAAACTATGCCAAAATAAGCTTTTAAAGCAAGGGCACTGAAAATGGGCATGAACACCTATTGCAGGAGACGCAGAAGGATATCTTGAGGTGTGAAGTCATTTGTTCAACTGCAAAAAACAAATGCCATGGGACTGGGTGAGGATCCCCCAGTGAGTGTCTAGTGGACACCACAATAACATTTTGTTGCTATTGCTACAGTCTGTTTGGGGGGCTGAAGTCCCTGATGGACCCCATTCCTGTCTCCTTCCTCACCTGAATTTTAAATGTGTGTGCATATAATGCCAGTACTCTGAAACTCAGCCTTCCTAAGATCTAAATCACACATCAACATGTACTTGTTTTGAGCAAGAGAATGATCCTTTGTCTCAAGGTGTAAACTGGATCAATTGTTCTCCTTTTGTTAAGTCCTAAAGGATGGGTCATTGTGGCTTTTACAGCTCTTTTCTCCTGTGAAATGGAACAACTATACATGTGAGTCTGAGAGCTCTGCCAGCAAAAACATACTGACACAGGACAAGGAGAAGGAGGTGCAGAGGCCCATGGTTAAAAGCAGGAGTTACAGGGCCGGAAAATGCCTGTCAGTCTCACAGACAGCAAGGGTTTGCCAGAGACCCTAAAAAGATCTTGGTTTGTTCTCTGTCAGCTGGGTCCATGGACGTGAAACTCCATTAGAACAAGGCAACAAAAACCAAAAACCAGTACTTATTTCATAGTGAAATGATTTCATAATAACAAAGATTAGAGGAGGGAAAATAACCCAATGTCATCACATAATGCTGTCCTTGATGAATCTTAGGTTAACTGCCAGTACATTACATACATATATTGTACTAGACAGACACCCACAGAACTAACATCACTGATGCCTAAACTTACCATTATAGAAAGGAAAATCTATCTTGTTTTAATAAAAGGTAAATAAACAAACAAACAAAATCAAAGAGGAAGGTCTTTATCACTCAGGTTGGGGCTGTTTGATGTCAGAACTCTTTCCCATCCTGCCCCAGGCCTCTCTCTCCCATGCTGTGTGCATGCTCTGTGTGTCTGTGCGTATACTCCTATGATTTCTTGATATCCTGTATCTATTCATGAACACGCAATCTTGAAGTAGACACAACGTACGTGTATGTGTGGAGGTGGGGGCTTTCATGGCATGGCATGTAGTAGGCAGTATGTATATACATAGCTGTTCCCCCAAATTTAAAAAGTTTCACATTTATATTGATAATATGCTACTACTGCATTAACCAAACATGAAACACACAGATCCAAATCAAGGGGGAAAATTTCCCCAAACCAAAGACCACTGTTCTTAAGCTCTAAGTCTTAAGGCAAGTGACAAGATGCTGTGGTCCCCAGCCCTACTGGGCTTCAGACCTCAGGGCCAGGAATTTCATGATGATCTTAGTTTCTGAACTAGGGAAATGGCTGCAAGGACAGCCACAGTTTACCTTCTCTCAGGAGACCTCAGACCAACTTCTCAAAAGGGTCAATTATGAAAATATTCACACTTTTATTTATGGGCCTATGGGCTCATCCTGAGACCACGAGAGTGAGTCTTATTGCTCCCAATCCCCTGAATTTCAGAGGATCTGTAGTTTTCCAAGATGTAGTACCTTAGTGAAAACAATGATAAATAAATAAACAAGCATGGTGGTGTCTCTAAAACTCCTGCCTGCAACTCTCACAGAGATACAAAAAAAGAGGTAAACATGACCATTTAACTCATGTTTTTGACTTTAATTCTGGGTCTTCAAGATGGAGAAGCACAATTATTTTTTTCCATGTAAAAAAGGTATAACCATGTATGTTCATAAGAGATTGTGAAATCAGAAATAGCCTATCAAACCAGAATGGCACAGGGTTATAAAATGTGACATTATTTGTAGTTATTTTTAAACATGTTCTACATATTCTATGATGTAAGCCTGGTAACCTTGTCACAGATATTTGTCTGCTTAAATTTTAAGTCACATACCAAATAGTCTGATTTGTCACTGAAGCATTTCTGACACATTTAATATAAATAATACTTAAATTTTTATTTTTAAAAATCCCATAAAAAAGATGAGTCTAATTAACCTGGTCAAACAGACATCTTCAAACAAAGAAATTCAAGAGGCTCAGACGGTTTCCTGAAGGTTTCTCTCTCCTCTCAACTCAAAACCAAAATGAACTGATCCTTAAAACCATTCAAATTTCTATAGAAGTTTAAATATTATACAACTTAAATATTTTCAACTTCCATAAAATTTTCTCTATTAACAGAAGTTAATTTGACAGGCAAGTGGCTATTTCTTCAACACCAGTTGGCGTCTCCAGGTTTAAAACCAGGTACCTCAAAGCTGAAATGCACCTCGAGGAGCAGGGTGGAAAATTATGAGTGTGCATCCAGAGTGAAGCACGCAGCCTTGAGATTCGCTCTGGGCCGCCTGCAGCGCAGGGAGAAGAAACACTGCCTTTGAAAGCAGTGCCGGATCAGCCCTATAGAATCCTGACCCTCTTCCCTCTTTCTACGCGTTACCTCTGCGCCTCCCAATTAGGACAAAAAGCAATCACACCTTCACGCGATTCCTTAGGAATCCCCAAGGAACAAATCCGCTTAAAAACACACTTTTAAATACAATCACAAATAACCTGATGCCTCATTACCAAGAGGTTTCATAACCCGATAGCCAAAATTGCAGTCAGCAGAAGTACTACCAATTTCTCAATCCGGGATAATTCCTATTTTGCAGAAAGCAAGCTCAGACACGATCAAATTATTTTACAGTCGAAGCAAAAGGCTCGCATCTCAAAAATAAAAGAAAGGTCGTTATGAATGACTTTATAAAGGCTGACTTCAGTGATCTCACCTTGTAAGTATATATCAATTTAAATATGACTGGAGCTAGAACGTCCTCCTCATGGTGGTGACAGCAGGGCGGCCCAGAAGTGTCCCACCGCCGGCCTGTCCCGCGCCTGCAGTCACGGTGTAAAGTGATGGAGGCTCTGACAAAAGTCAGCGCTCTCACCGTCCCCAGAAAGGACCAGCGGACCAGAGCGAAACCAGGGGTTACAAATCTGCCTCTCCTTCCTTTCATTCCCCAAACCCCCTTTCTCTTTTCAAAACCCACCAGTTACTCCAAGTTTTCCTACTGAAATTCAATTTGAAAACACTCACGTGGGTGTGTGCGTCGCGCTTTGGGGGCCAAGACTGGTCCTCGGGGGCGAAGAGCGACCTCGGAGCCCGGGCTCCCTCTGCTCTGCCGGGCTCGCGGGGTCGGCCGCCTCGCCGCGGCCCAGCCTCCCACCGGCTCGGCCGCGCTCCGCGGGGACCCAGGGACTGTCGCCGCAGTCGCCGCCCCGCGCGCGGGCCGCGCAGGCACTTGTTAGAGTGCCCTGTTAACTTGGCCGCCCGGCTCTTCCCAGCTTTCTTTCACAATGACTTCCTGAAGTTGCTCACTCGCATTGTTCCCCATTTCTCCGCCACGCTCCCCACCCCCAGCGGCTCCGACCGGACTTCGCGCTCCCGGTCCCGCGGCTGCCCCGCGCGCACAGCGCCGCCCACGGGCCGCGCACCTGGGCGCCCCGCGCCGCGCCCCCAGCCGGCCGGAGCTTGGCCACCTGCGGCCCCGAGCGGCGGGGGCCCGAGCGCGCGCCAGCCGCCCGCGTTCCGCAAACTTTGCGGGTGCGCACACCTCTGGTCCCAGCTCCGCCTGTCCGCAGCCGCCCTGCCCTCGTCCGGCTCGTTGCTCCGGAGCTCGGAGCGGGGCACGAGCGGGGCGCGGAGCGGGACTCGGAGCGGGACCCGAGCGGGGCGCGGGCGGGACTCGGAGTGGGACACGAGCGGGGCACGGAGCGGGACAGCGAACGGGGCAGTGATCCGAGCGCGGAGCTGGGCACAGAGCAGGGCGCGCCGCTTCCGTCCCCACCGCCGGGTCGCCCGCTCCCGCGGCGCCGTCCCCACCGCAACTCCGGGACCGCGCACACAAACTTTGCGGCGGAGCTGGGATGGGCCCCGGGCCCCCAGTGCCGCCGGGGCGGCGGCGGGCGCGGGCCGTACCTGCTGGCGCCGCCGCCGGCTGCAGCCCGCTCGCCCGCGCCGGGCCCGCTCGGCGCGCCGCCGCCACCCCCGCGCGCAGCGCGCCCGGGCCCTCCCCTCGCCGCCTTGCTTCCTCATTCCAGCGCCGCATCGCGCCGCGGCCCCGCGCGGCAGGTGGCTGCCCGCGCTCTGAGCCCTGAGCCCAGCGCCCGGCTCGGCTGCGGCTGTGGGGGACCCACGCTTAACCCTTAGGGGCCCGGCGCGGAGGACGCGTGCGGGGCAGCCGGAGTGGGGGAGCCCGCCGCCCGCCCGCAATCCTGTGCCCGGGGCGGCCCGTCTGGGCACCCGCAGGCTTGTCCCCCTCAGGGGACTCGAGGGACTTGGGACACCGTGAAGCACTTTCCCTAGAGTATGGGGCGTCCACTGCCCACCCAGCTCCACTTCCCTTGCACTGGGGCTTCTTGGCCTCCAGGTTCTGGCTGCGACCCAGGTTGTGAGTGCCCACCCAAGGGGGTGGGAAAGTTGATCCTCCGCAAGTGAGGGGAAGGTGCGATTCATTTTCCCAGACAACCAATGGAATACCTCTAGGCTCTCTTCCCTCCCACCTGCTTAAAGCAGAAGTTAGGATCGCGCCTTTCACCTTGGCCCTTGTGCACACGCAAGTATGAAAGGTGGCAGCGGAGGTGACACCGAAAGCGGTCTGAAGCCCGGCTGCATGGGTCTTTGTGCCATAGACCTCTGCGTCCTTGTACCCGTGGCTCGCGCGTAAGGCGCAGCGGGTCTCAGTTGAACAGGAATGCAAGCTTTGACAGCGCACCTCTTCCCACTCTAGATGCATCATTGTGATTAACCAGGCCCCACCGAGCCGGAGCCGGGTGAGAGTGCTGTATCTGAGCAGAAGAGGAAGAATCGGGAATTCAGTAAATGTGTCCTGAGCCCTCCAGAATGCTAAGGGAGGGCCTGAGATGAAGAGCTGAAGCCTCTGCCCTTCAGAACTCCCAGGGGTGAACCAGTAGGTACAAAAATAATTACCAGACCATCCCTATGAAAGGGAGAGACAAGATCCTCTCTCTGGGTAGCTCAAAGAAGTCAGAGTGACAGCCCAGGGGACAGTGAGGAAGGGCCCATGGGCCCCCAGGTGATAGCATGGGCAGGCCTTCCAGGTAGAGAAAACAGCTGACAAAAGTAACCAGCAGAAAAGGTCACTTCTCAGCAGCTGAGTGTGGCAGGGAACAGCAGCCACCTAGGAAGGCTGTGGCCTGGTGGAGGACGCTGCTAGTGGCAGGGCCCAGGCACCCTGTTGACCCTCAGAGAAGTGTTTTCTACTCTCCATGAACCACAAACAGCATCCAGCCAGATGGTCCATTCCTGGACTACTTGTACACAGCTACTACTCACTTCATCCTGTGCTGAGCCCTAGCCAGTAACTACGTCCTGCTTTAAGCCCCGAGGAGGCAGTGCTAGTGAAAGGGTCTTTGGTTTGATTCCCAGTCTTCCCCTTACCTGTATGATCTTGGGCAAGTCATTGACCCTTTCTGAGTGTCATCTTCCTTATCCACAAAAGAATGAAATGTACTTCACCCTAAAGAGTCCTTCTCAGGATTAAATGAGGCAATAAACAGAAGGTGCAAGGCCCAGGGATGCCAAAGACATTACAGTAGAGGGGTCATGACACAGCTCTGCTTCTTGGATGGACACAGCACCCTTAGTCCCCAGGTCTATCCCTTTATAGATGTGCTGTGGAGGGGGAATCAAGGATGCAGATGTGCCCATCCAGCCAAGGCAAATCCTCCTAAGCAGAAAAGCATGAGGCTAGAGCCCAGACAAGTGGGGCTGTTGTGGTCTTGACCTATGTTCTTAACTTCTCTAAACCTCAGTTTCCCCATCTGTATATTGATGGTAATAATATAAGGTACCTCATGGGATTGTTTGTGGATGGTGTAGATTACATATGGAAACTCTCGCCATGCGCCCAGCAGAGAAGAGGACTGTGAGAAGTACCTATGATTTTTTTTACTAATAAGTGCCCCGTTGAGACAGAGAGCAAGCAGAGAAGAATCAGCCATCATGCCCCATTCCCCCCCACCATGCCTGAAGAGGTGCAGCAGCAGGAGCTCAGACTGTAACCTGGAGAATCTGGGAGGACACTATGGGACCAGAGAGGACATTTAAAGCAAAGTCAGCAATAAAAGCACACTGGAGGGGAAAATGTATCAGGGGAAACTGAAACAGGTGATCCTTTAAAAAAAACCTGATAGGTTTAAGGTCATTTTGCTTCTTTAGGAAATATACATACATACACATATATATCACATTTCATAATGTTAAAACTTTTAATAAAGTATAGCCTGGTTTATTTTGTTTATCATTAGTATATTTATTAGATAATAATTGCTAAATTGCCTATTATTCTTCTTTTGAGAAAATAATAGAGAGCACTTGTAGAATTAATGAAAGACCACTTACACAGAGCTTACTCTAGTAAGGGAGTTAACCACCAGCAGTTTTGTTCAGGCAGAACCTGGAAGAGATTTTACAGGAGAATGAGTTTTATAGAATAAATGGATGGTTGAGATGATATAAGATAAATAGGTTTTTTTCTTATTAGCTGTGTGAGTCTTGGCAACTTACTTAACCTCTCTGAGGTTCATTTTGTCATCTGCAGAGCATACTGCACAACGGTGTTCATAGAATCAGGAAAAATGAAGTGAGACAATAAATGTAATTCATGATTATAATTGTATTTTTTTAATTCTAAAAAAATCTGGATGATTTTTTGTATTTTTCTTTAATTCTAAAAAAAGGATAAGCATCCTTTTTTCCTTCCAGCAGTTGGGAAACAGCAAGAATAATTTGAAATAACTGGAAAAGTATTTTGTGAAAAAACAGTTCAATGAGTCTTACTAAGTGTTAGATTAATACAGAACTCATGGTTTTGTTGGAGAAGGAACTGGAACATGAGAGAAGGACCTTGAACTTGGATGAAACTTCTGCAACAAGGACTCTGCTTCTTTGGTTTCTTTTTCCCAGTTTTCACCATCTCCAGCTTCTGTTTCTGCTGTTGTTAAAAACTAATGGGTGCCAGCTTGGAGCAAAGGATCCCGACCCTTTTTTTGGGCTTTGACTTGAGTTTGACTCCTGAGCACAGACCTCTGGCTCCCACCTACTTCTGGAAGGGAAGGAACAGGAAGCAGGGCAGCAGGGGGCTGGGAGGGAACTTAGGAGGAGCCAGGACAGTGCAGCTGGCAGTGCCCAGGGGGGTGGGGGGGTGCTCGGTGGCACTCAAGGAGACCCCTCCATGTTCTCCATTTCCCACAACACTTAGATGGCCCTCTCTGGAGCCTCAGTGGCTCCTGGTTTTGAAACCCACAGAGACTCAATAGCTCATCTGATCACTCACATCACTGCTTCTAGCATTTGAATCAAGGATGTGCGGCAGCTGACAGCCAAATTCTTCCCACTTTATGATAATTGTTTCACTTTATTCCCTTTGGTATTTGTAAGAAGAACACACTTAGTTTCTCAAAAATGGGACTTCTTATTACTATCACTTGCTTAGAAGACATTAAAAACAAACTGAGTCAGATATAGTGACTTAGAGAAGATAGATTTACCCAGAAGGCTTTCTGGTGAAAAGTTGAAAATGTTTTGGGTAAGTAAAAGGAAAGTAGATATACATCTGACCTCAGGTCAGAATAAAGAAAACAGGGAGGTGGGTGCCATCCTGCAGTTGATCCCACTATACAGGAATGTGATTGGAGCATAATTCATGGAGCTGTAAAGTCTCCTGGTGGCGTGTACTCATTCATTTACTCCATAAGTATGCATTCCTCTATAGCCACTGTTGCAGGTGACATTTGAGAGACAAGTTGTCCTCCAAAGCCTAAGATGTGTTCTTATCCTTAAGGGGCTCCTGATCTAGTAAAGTAGAAATGATTGCACTCAATGCAAAAGATGTCATGGTAAATGCAGACACAAAGCCTGTGGACACACAGAGGATGAAGCCACTAAGTGGTTACTAGCTGTGGGGAAGGCTTTGCGTACACATGGAGGAAAGAGGGGGGAATGCAGGGGAAGTGCACTAAAGCTTGGAGAGGGGTACTCGCCCAAGGTTGAAGGTTAAGTGACAAACTCTGGAGACAAACTCTCTGGGTTTGGTAGCTTGGCAAGTTACTAGGCTTCTCTGTACCTCAGTTTCCTCTTCTGTAAAATGGAGATCATAGTAATAGCAGTGGCAGCAATAATGCCTTTTTCTGGAACATTCATGGTCTCAAAGGACTTAGGGTAAGCAGTCTCGGATGGATTCCTGGCAGATACTGAGCACTGAATAAGAGTCTGGAGTGTAGGAGTGTCTGGTTTCTCTGTGGTTGGGCTGGGGTATGAGTCTGGGAGTTTCCTTCAGCTGTGCCCCCAGCAGAGCACTGAGAGCCCTCCG